AGAACTGCACCCAACCATTCAACTGCACCCAACCATTCTACTGCACCCAAACATTCTACTGCACCGAACCATTGTACTGCACCCAACCATTGTACTGCACCCAACCATTCTACTGCACCCAACCATACAACTGCACCCAACCATTCTACTGCACCCAACCATTCTACTGCACCCAACCATTCTATTCATCATTACAGTAATTTATAATTGGCCCATGAGAGACTTAACCATTAGAACTGGTCTCAGAAACTCATGGGGATAATCAATAATTGAGATTTTATCATACAGTCTCAAGGCTGTGCTCCAATAAAAATTGAAGGGATTCCACTGCTCTGAAACTGAAATCCAGGGTGCCCAGCATAGGCTTTTTTCTGAAAAAACTGAGTTGCCCAAGGACAAAAAGAAGGCACCAGGGGAGGGGTCACTGGGCACTGCTAGACCACAGTCCTGAGTTTGAGGTGGATCATTTGAATAAAATAACGAAAGGTACAGGCTGTAATCTACACAAAAAAAATTATGATCCTTTATTAGTTGCAAATTTATTCAAATCAACTAAAATTACCATTTATCAGAGTCGCAATGCTTGACATCCAAAGTAATAGAGCCAAATGCCGCATTGTGAAGACTTGTGCCTAGGAGAAAAAATAACATTCTTTGAATCGTCACTTACACGTACAATACATTTCGGACTCAATATGACAGAGTTCACACTTAAACTCCATAGATCTGATTGCAAATTCCACTCTCTAACTGCAATACATTTCTTGGTAAGTCACAAGCTGCCCTGATGGTCCCTGAATGGTGTCATAAATAAGAACACAGAAAGACCTGTCCTCTCCAAGAGATTTTCACAGCAAGGTGAATCAGGACCACAAGTGGTTCCTCCTTTTCAGCTTAGTTCAAATTCATTCAGGGCTTGACACTAACAGTAGCCCACTAGCCACAGACTTGTAGAAATTCAGTTTTGGCGAGTGGTTTCCGATTTCCACCGACCAGTTTGGCTAGTCGATAAACAAACTGAAATTGTCATAACATCTAAGACGTCACTAGCCACTTAGCTAGTAAGTTGAAAAGTTAGTTCATTATATGAGTTTCAAAGAATATATTGATTTAAGGGTGCCCCATGGAACACTGGGAGTGGGGTGCATGCACTACTCGTGAAAATTGTACATTTCAATGTACAATCTTTGGAAAAACAATTACCATCAAAACTGCCTCAAGGTGACAGTTGTTCTGCTCCAAGACACAATCTAATTGTGGGAAAATATGTTATATCTAATTACAGAATTCTGTGATCACAGATGGGCATGAAGGATATTAGTAAAAAGCTAGGTATTAATCAAAGTATTGTTTACATGTCTGTT